GAGAAACACAGCCCCCCACCCCCAACACCAAACTAAACCTATTGAGTTTGAATCTGCAGTTTAACACACTCTCCTGAGTATTCACATGCAATTTAAGTTTTAGAAAGAGTAGACTATATTGGTACTTTTTATTCAGAACTAGACAAAATTCAAGAACTTCTGTGATGCTTAATAGGTCTTTGCAGTGGGTAGGATAGGGTTCTAGTGGGTACTAAGTCCTATTTCCATGCTTCAGATGAAACAGTTCCATGCTTATCCATCTAACGTATTCTGTTTCTCCAAGATCCTATTTGAAGAAAATATTCCACCACTTTAAATACAGCAGTGCTAAAAAAGGAAGCATATGATTCTATGAGAGAAATGCTACAATAAAGATGATCTCAGGGAATGACTATTTATTCCTCTGGGAAGTTCTGAGATCTCAAGACAAGCTTCTGGATCTAAACTCTACACCTCAGAGAGAACACTGTCAGAGAGAGAAGTGGCACACGTACTCGCCAATCTGGTGGTGCACTCTGGCTAAGCAGTCCACGATGAGTACATCACTGCTCTGTTACTCTCATACTCCTGGACATTTCCTGACATGGAGTTTTGAATAGAAGTTGAATGAACGTAGCGTTGGTCTGGTTCAATTGCCTCAATCGCCCTGGTCTGCAATAGTGCTCCCAGTATCTTCTTTTTCTAATACACTTGTCTTTTATTTCTTTCCTTTTCTGAAATTAAATTAGTGAATTCTTCTTGGAAAGCACTTTATTATATTAGAAAGAGTATAGCAAAGTAGTATAACTGACGATGAACAAAGGAAAGGCATCCTCCGTAAGTTTCGAACCAGGAAAGATCAAGAACTTTAAATGACAATTTGATTTTTTCTAAAAAGAAATTGCTTTTGTGTTTCCCATTAACTCTTATAATTAATTTAGTAAAAGATTCTTGTAAACCCTAAAGACAGAATTTTTGGCAATCCAAAAACTATCCCTTTCTTCCCATGGGAGATATAATTCAATTAGTTTATGTAATGCTTTCTAATAAATCATTCTATATATACCCAGCCATAGGGCTAAGAGGGAAACATGTTTCCATGCCATTCCCTGTGGAATTCTGCATTTACATGCCCTAAAAATAGCTGCAGTACCTGCGCCAAGTCTGCTAAATGCCCTTGGTTATCCTTAAGGAGTTCACATTTTCAGCAAAGATAGAACAAATATCAGAATGGCATTCATTTATAAAAACATACATTTAACTCTATCACTCTGAGTGTGCAAGATCGCCATCTGGGCTCCAAGCTTCACTTGAGTTTTATACTCAAGGGCGTAATCCACCTTTTATTGAAAATGATGCTAATTAAACTCCCTGGTGGTTTCGATAAACCTTTAATTTTCCATTTGATACATGATACGAATGCAGTGGCTTCCACATTAGTGTTGTCAGTGTGAAATTCACTGTTAACACTTCTTAAAAGTCACTAAGTGTTTGTAAGCATAAGTGTCAACTAATGATAATTCTTGAAAATATCACTTTGCAAGGTAAAATATTAAAGAAATATCTCATGTTTGTGTATGTAGTCATTCTTGAGGATGTAATGACTTGAGATGCTAGAGTGCAAATTTTTCATATTTCTGAATGTTCATTAAGAAATTCTGTGTAGACAACATATTGAGAGTAAGTTTTAAAAGTTTTACTAATGATATCATAAAGTTCCATAAGTTATTTCTCAGAATTAGAGGTGCAAATCTTTTCAGAGTTAACATTACATTGGAAAAGTGATGTCATACCGTGTTTAAGGCACCGTGCTTTGTGCTTTTCAGAATATAAGAACACATATAATATCTGAAACGTGAACTTAAGAAGCATGTGGTGTGAAATGGTAGACACTAAGTATACCCAAAAACTAACTTCCTATTCTAGGCCAAGTGCCACATGACTGAAATAGAGGCTGATGAGGCTCTTGGCCTTCAGAGTGTAAAGGGAAGAAAGATAACATTTGCTGACCAGCTGTTATGTCCCAGGAACAGGGCTCCTTGCTTTATATTCATTATTTTGTTTAATTCTCATAGGAACCTGTATGAAGTGGGTGAAATTACTGCCATTTTGCACATAAATGTACTAACAATAAATAAAATACCATTCGTTGAAAAAGTGAGTGAAAGGAGAAATATAAAAATTATTTTAAAGCTTAAAAAGTAAAATATTATCCAAGTTCCTCTGACTCCACAAAACTCCTGAGGTTCTGGAATGACAGGTATCAGAAATGCTGGACATAACTTGGGACAAATGCATGGAAAAGTGACTAATTAAAAGATTGTGATTGGATGCATATTAAGACTCTGGACCAAGATAGTGACCTATGAGGCTTCTGAATGTGCCCTGTGCCATGGATGCCCTGAATATACAGCTGTGCACAGAGCAAACAGTGTGGTGTTGGCATGAAAGCAGATACATAGCTCAGTGGAGCAGAATAGAGAACCCAGAAATAAATCCATGCAAATATAGTCAGTTAATTTATGACAAAGGAGCCAAGAATACACATTGGAGAGCCAGCCCTGATGGCCTAGGGGTTAAAGTTCAGTGCTCTCACCACTTCAGTGGCCCGGGTTCAGTTCCCCTGGAATGGAACCACACCACTCGTCTGTCAGTAGCCAGGCTGTGGTGGCAGCTCACATAGAAGAACCAGAAGGACTTATGACTAGAATACACAACTATGTACTGGGACTTTGAGGAGGGGTAAAAAAAGAGAGAAGAAGATTGGCAGCAGATGTTAGCTCAGGGAAACAGACATTTCCCAGCAAAAAAAAAAAAAAAAGAATATACTACAGGAAAAGAATAGTATCTTCTATAAATAGTGTTGGGAAAACTGGATACTACATGCAAAAGAATGACTGTGGACCTCTGTCTTACATCATCACAAAAATTGACTCAAAATGGATCAAAGACCTGAACATAAGACCTGAAAACTTAAAACTCCTGAAAGAAGGCATAGTGGGTAAGCTCCTTAACATTGGGCTTGGTGATGATTTTTTTAATTTGACACCAAAAGCAAAGACAAGGAAAGCAAAAGTCAACAAGTAGGACTACATCAGATTAAAGAGTTTCTGCACAACAAAGGAAAACATCAACAAAATGAAAAGGCAATCTATGGAATAGGAGAAAATGTTTGCAACTCATCTATCTGATAAGGAGTTAATATCCAAAATATATAAAGCATTCACATAACTCAATAGCAAAAAAACAAATAACTCAATTAAAAATGGGCAGAGAACTTAAATAAACATTTCTCCAAAGAAGCCATAAAAATGGCCAAGAAGTATGTGAAAATGTAGTCAATATCACTAATCATCAGGGAAATGCAAATCAAAACTACAATGAAGGGCTGTCCCCATGGCCTAGTGGTTAAGTTCTGTGCCCTCTTTTTCAGCAGCCGGGGTTTCGTTCCTGGGTGCAGACCTACACCACTCATCTGCTGCCATGTTGTGGTGGCAACCCACGTACAAAATAGAGAAAGATTGGCACAGATGTTAGCTCAGGGAGAATCTTCCTCAGGAAAAAAAAAAAAAGCCACAGTGAGATATCACTCACACCTGTTAGATGTCTATTATCCAAAAAAGACAAAAGATAACAAATGCTGGCAAGATTGTGGAGAAAAGGGAAATGTAAACTGCTATGACAACTAAGGAATACAGTATGGATGTTCCTCAAGATATTAAAAATCGAAATATCATATGATCCAGCAATCCCACTTCTGGGTATATATTCAAAGGAAATGAAACCATTATGTTGAAGAGATATCTGTAGTGCATGTTCACTGCAGCATTGTTCAAAGTAGCCAAGATATGAAAACAACCTAAGTGTCCGTCGACTGATGATTGGGTAAAGAAACCGTGGTTCCTGTATGTACAATGAAATATTATTCATCCTTAAAAAAGAAGAGAATCCTACCATTTGTGACAACATTCATAAACCTGGAGGGCATTATGCTAAGTGAAATAAGCCAGACCGGGAGATAAATAATGCATGGTATCACTCACATGTGGAATCTAAAAAAGAAAAAGGCGAGCTCTTACAGACAGAGTAGAATGGTGGTTGCCAGGTGTTAGGGGGTGGGGAAAGTAGGGAGAGGCTGACAATCATACAAATTTTCAGTTATAAGATGAGTATTTTCTGAGAATTTAATATGTAACATGGCGACTATAGTTGGTAATACTTTATTGTATAATCAAAATTTGCTAAAAGAGTAGAACGTGTGTTCTCGCTCCTGCCAACCCCAACCAGAAAAGGGAAACATGTGAGGTGAGGAATGTGTTAATTAGCTTGATGGTGGGAATCTTTGCACAATGTGGATATCTATCAAATCAGCACATTGTACCCTTTAAGTATATTGCAGGTTTTGTCAATTATGCCTCAATAGAGTTGAAAAATATATACACATTAAAATAATTCTGATTAAGAAATGATGACGAATGGAATAAAAACTCAGCTATCATAGAGGTTTTTTGTTTTTTAGAGGGGTATAAGTCAATTGTGAATTGTCTGTTCTAAGTATGTGATCAAACCCTGGACTCCTTTGAGAGTGAATGGAGGCACTATTAATCATGACCCCAGGACAGCAGCGTTATCCCCGGGGCTGTCCTGGGCAAACTGGAACCTATGGCAGATACGAAGGGTCAGTGAATTCCTGGTATTATGTCCATAGGAAATTTGCTTTAGCACCATTACTGAAGGCTGGGGGGCTAGGTGTTCTCTGACACGGTACATGTTTTAATAAAGTTTCATAAAGGGTTTTTTCTTTCTGAAAAATCCATAATGGAACATTTGACAGAGTGTTTCCGGTGATATAGGTAAAAATCAGTTATTACTAGAAACATATTTCAGTTACTAGAGGAAAGGAGTGTCAGATAAGCCTGCATATTGGTTTCTTTAAAAAGGTTTAAATAAAAATATGATTTTAATAAAATTGTTAGTCTTACCACCAATGATCAAACTTGGTTCTCTATTTCTGAATTTAGGACTGCACATCCGTCTCTTGTTTGAACGAAGGCATCTGTCAGAAGTCAGTGCACGGTGTCACTTGCATTTGCCCCGGTGGGTACACTGGTGTGTACTGTGAAATGCACGTTGACGGTTCTGCGGAGCCTGAACCGAATTTAGTCCTCTGTCTTAACGGAGGCATTTGTGTAGATGGAGCTGGACGCACTTTGTACTGCAGGTCAGTATTTATTGATGCACAATTTGCTAACTATATATTTAGGAAAGCTTCTAAACATCCTGCTAGCAATGCCCTCTGAAATACGGAGACTGAGTTCTTAAGTCAGTTGTCGTCTTTAAAAAATGTAAGCACATATTTGCAATCAATTCTACAAAGTATTGCTTGTTTTTCCAAATACCATGTATTCATAGCTGTCCCATGTTGGACTTCCAAATTTAATCATCCTTCGTTGTCTCATTCTTTCCTATCTCCTCTCCTTCCCAGAATTTGGCTCTTATTCCTTTCCTTAAATATTATGCCACATGAATGATTTATAAACAGTACATATTTCTGGCATACTTCTTAACCAGAGATTCATTTCTCTTACTGCTGTACTTATCTTCTAAGATCTTAACAACTGATACAAATTTTTATTTATTAAGAGTCATGAAACCAAATTAATCTGTCTATGTATTGGCTTAACTAATTATTATTTAAGGTACTTTTTAAAATTCTTAGGAGATGAATTTTCATTACCTTTGTTCTTTATGATTATATTGAATACATAATTGGTTGGTCGTTTGAGAATTTAGCCATTAGCTGTTTGATTTGTAAAATAATAATTGAAACTGAGGTGTTAAAAACACATACTTTACCTCTTTTCTCTATTTCAGTCTGATATGTGAGAGGTTTTTGTTAATTTAAAATCTGTGAATTACTATGTTTCTGTCAAAATATCTTAAGTTACTGAAAGGTTGACCATGCGTATTTTGGTACATAATTATATAACATTAAAGTATATCTATTATTTCTATATTTTATCAATTATTTCTCTTTAAATTATTAACATATTCTGCCTTATATTCAATACTGCTACTACCATATTTCCTTTGTTTAATATCTACAGCATGTTTGTTCTTTTATTTATTTTAATCCCTGCTGTTTCATTTTATTTGGGGGCATATCTCTAGTAAGGCACACATAGATGCTAATTTCACATAAATCCAAGATTATTATCTTTTAATTTAACATATGCAATGTTTATTTATTATTATGACACAGTTATTCTTTATTACAAATGGCCTAGCATGCCATTTTCCTTTGTAATGAGTGTATGTGAATTCTCTCTCTTGTATTTTGTGTTTTTGAGCATGGATTTTGTTTATTTTACTCTGGAGGTTTGATGAAGTATAGAAAGTAAGCATGTGTCTAATATCAAGGATAATTATGTAACATAAAAATATGAAAATGATCACCCGACCACTGCAAGGACCCTCTGGGTTATAATCGAATCAGTTCCTGGATTAAGACAGCAACAAGAAATTGAACATTTATTCCCAATGGATACCATGTTATAAATCAAGTTCCATTCGTGGAAACCCATCTTGTTCAATTAAAAAAAAAAAAGTAGAAATCAGGGAACCTAGAATACAACCTGGATAGTGTTTGTTAAATCAAGTACTGTAAGGGCTGCTCTATGAACACTCCTTTTAGCGGTTGTCATTCAGGGGCCGGTTCGGCTGACCTCTCCTAAAGCAGGGGGTCGCTGGAATTCAGGCTGAAGCCACCTGCTTCTTTTCCTGGCGTGTCTCCCCGGGACAAGAACAGGGGCATCCATTACTTCTACAAGGTATTCAAATGCCATTTAAATAAGAGCCATCTGTCTTCAAAATGGTCACTGCTGATTCCACGTGCCTGAAGCCCCTGGAAGTCTGACTGGTAAATTCCTCAGAAGGTTCCTTTTCTAGGCGATGTGCGCGGTGACGCTCAGGAGCCGGCAGAGTTGGTGCCAAGTTAGCACAGACCTCAGTTTACTTACAAAAGAAAACTCGTACTCTGGGAGGAAGAGCTTTGCAAGTTAAGACATCAGATTTGTGTTTGGGTTGAGGATTAACTTGTGATATATTTATTTAAACCATCATAAAATAATTATTTTTCATTGTTTAAATAATCATATCAAACTTACTGTTTTGATCCCTATTTAGATTCTTCAAATTTAGTCAAACAGAGAAACCTTTAAGTGAAGGAAGCCAATCTGAAAAGGCTGCATACTATATGATTCCAACCATATGACATTCTCAAAAAGGCAAAACAATGGAGACAATGAAAAGATCAGTGGTTGTCAGGGTTGGGGTGTGCAGAGATCAATGGGCAGAGCACAGAGGATTTTTAGGGCAGTAAAAATACTCTATGATGTTCTAATGATGGATATGTGTCATTACACTTTTGTCCAAACCCATAAAATGTACACCACCCAGAATGACCCTTAAGGTAAACTATGGACATTGAGTGATTATGATGTGTCAGCATAGGTTCGTCCTTGGTAAAAATGTACCATTCTGATGAGTGATGATAATGGCGCAGGCTATGCAGGTGTGGGTGCAGGGAGTATATGGGAAATCTCTGTACGTTCCTCTCAATTTTGTCGTGAACCTAAAAGTGTTCTAAAAAAAATAGACTTTTAAAACGACAAAAAAAAGAAATTTTACTCTTAAAAACATAGTAAAATATTTTGTTATTTTCTTCATGCTCATTTTCCTTCAACATTTACACAAATCAGAGTTAAAGTTAATGTCTCTGTTCTCATTGCAGGTTTATTTGTTAATCATCTTTCCAAATTTTGTTTGGTTTTAATTGGGAAAGTAGTTATCCAAACCTATAAATTTCCACCTTGAGGATATTTATCCTGAAATCTTATTTTTGATGAAAACTTCCTTATTAAAAGATTTCAGCCTTGATTGATCTGTAGAATACTCTATACCATTGGTTTCCTAATGACTTTAGGATAAGTAATTTTCTTCCAATTGAAATCTCATGTTATATCACATCTAGAAAAAAAAGATAAAGAATATATTACCCTTTAAAATTGCCTGGAAATTTGAAACTACCAACCTGAAATTTTTTGTTGTGTTCTTGGCTTCACATATGAATTAGAACTTGATGACGTACAGATTTCTTAGATCTTATCTTTGAGGATTATGCAGTGATGTTGTTATTTTCCTTTCTTCTCCATCATTGCAGAAAATAAACCTGAGAATGGTCTATTTTCGTAAACATTATGATTTTATGAATGTAGTCAATTGCTTCTTTCATGGAAGCTGACATGCTTTTTAATTTCTTTAATTAAAAACACACATATGAAATACTTACCCCAGTGACTGGTGTGTACAGACTTATACTTTAATTCTGTTCTCTTTTATTTTTGAAATTTAAACATTTAGCTAAAATATGTGTTGTTGTATATTTCTCTTATTTATTTCTTCATGTCTGAAAAGTTCTCTTTCATTATTCTTCTATTATTCTTTTGGGTGTTATTACTGATTCACTCATTCTGCATACTTCTTTGGGTACTATTACCTACATATTGTAAATTCAAAACTGTCTTTCACACATTTCACTCTTTTTGCATTTTTGTGTCCTTTTTTTTATAATTTCTCTTTTTTTAAATTTTTTTAATTTATTATTTTTTTTTCTTTTTTCCTTTTTCTCCCCAAAGCCCCCCGGTACATAGTTGTATATTTTTCGTTGTGGGTCCTTCTAGTTGTGTCATGTGGGACGCTGCCTCAGCGTGGTTTGATGAGCAGTGCCATATCCGCGCCCAGGATTCGAACCAACGAAACACTGGGCCATCTGCAGCAGAGTGCGCGAACCTAACCACTCGGCCACGGGGCCAGCCCCTGCATTTTTGTGTCCTTTAGAAAATTCCTTCTCAAGTCTCAATTTACTTCTAAACTTTTTAGTGGTTTTATGAAATTTTTTCTTTTGAGAATATTATTTATTTTCTTTTACTTTTCAATACATATGCACTTTTAAATAGGTATTTTCTTCCACTGTAAATGTGATGCCCAGTTAACAAATCATATTATTATTTTCTGTTTGCAAAGTAATTTATTTCAAGAAAGTCAAAGTTTCTTTGAGTTTTTCTCAAAGTTCTTAAAACTCGGCTCATCTTCTTTTTGTTACGGAATTTTTTCAGTTGACTCAGAGTGTCAATAACTAACATTTTTATGCTTGCCTTATTGATCTTTATTCTTCTTACCCAAATGTCTCGCAAGACGACTTTTGTTACCCAACTCTATTGGTCAGATTCTTCTTTACTGAATTGTTTCTGTGTCTCCAAGACAGTTTTAAATGAGAGGCCTGAACAGTTAAAGGACGGGAGCAGAGCATGCAGTAGCGCAGTGCACACCAGAGGAAACCTATTTTCACTGCGTGTGTTGTGGCTGCTTATATCCAGGGTGAAATTGCTGAGCATTTATGTATCCATTTACATATCTCCACTTTACTGTTTAGATTTTGAATGTTGGGTTTCTCTAGATCTGAGGTGTGTCAGACTTATAGTTTGTTCATTGCTAGTTTTTCTCATGAAAATATTTGATTATTTTAGATTATTTTATAACTACAACGATACATAATAAGAGAAGCTAGTATTCATTCTTTCGTCTTTCTGAAATAGTAGCTAAATTTTGAAAAGCGTAAGTAGTCTGTAAATAGAAAAAAAATGAAAGGGAAGAAAAAGGACTGACTTAAGCCTGACCGTTTAGAATGTGATCCTCCAAGATGGTAAAATGAATAAACCAGTGATATATAGCTAGTTTCCTCATTACTGTAGATAAACATACAGGAGATAATGCTTTGAATACTGATATAAACTAAATAACCATTTCAAGCAAAATAAGTTAAGATTCGGTTTAGATAAACAATTCCTAGACTGTTAGGTGCATATAACATATAATATTCAAGTAATTCTATAACCATACTTTAGATCATTTCTGGAGAAATGAAAGGGCATTTCAAACACCTAAACTTATTTTTAGTAATATACGTATTAGGCAATTCAAACTCAAGTGAGGAAAGTTATATTGCCAAATTAAGAAATATCAAATTAACAATATGCATGTTTAAAGTAAAAAGCCGTGAATGATAATAGATGAGATTTTTCAAAGTCTTTGCCATTCACAGGCTCTATTTGCTATTTGAAATAAATGAAAATACCTTTTTGTTCAGAAAATATAATATCTGATGATTGTATTTCTAGTCCTAAACTCAAATGGATGTTTTTATTGACTCATTAAATTTTAGGGCTGAAGAAGGATTCTAGAGATGACCTCTAGTAATCTAGTTATTGCACAGATGAAGAAGCAAAGGCTGAAGGGGGTTTGTCCTCTGTCAGCTGCCTGCAAAGTCACGATCGGTGGGAAAGTCAATGCTAGAATCCAATGCATTGCCTTTTTATTTTCATTAGAGTA